GCTCTTCCGGGTCCTACTCCTCCGTCGCTTGCGGCTCCCTTTGCCACTTGCACCTGCGCGATGCCGCTGTGGGCGTCCGCAGGATGCCCTGGGTGACCACATCGCTGCCTGTCCTCGGTCTGGCGTTCTCAGGGCACGAGGTGGACCGCTCGAACGTGCAGCGGCTCGGGTCTGCCGTGAGGCCGGTGCTGCAGTCGCCACACACGTCCTAGTTCGAGACCTGAACCTGCAGGCATCCAGGCATGATGAGCGCCGCATCGAGGTGATCGCCAATCGGCTGCCGTTGTGGGGAGGCTCGCAGCTTGCCGTTGACACTACGCTCGTCTCGCCACTTACTTCTGCTGGTGCGCCCCGGCGCCGGCGCGGCAGCACTGCCGGGGCGGCCTTGGCCGAGGCGCGCAGGGCCAAAGAACGTACCTACCCTGAGTTCGCCGACGCCCGTCGGTGTCGCCTGGTTGTCCTCGGTCTTGAAGTTGGTGGTCGCTGGAGTGCCGAAGCTGCCGACTTCCTTCGGTTGCTCGCGCGGGCGCGAGCACGCAGTGCCGCCGCGTCCCAGCGCGCAGCGTGTGTCGCCGCCTTTGTCGCACGATGGTCTGGGCTTCTCTCCATCGCTGCTGCACGCTCCTTCACTGCCAGCCTGCTGTCCCTTCCGATTTCCAACACTGCCAATCTCGATGGCGAGGCTCCTCTCTTGAGCGATGTCCTTGCCGACTCGTCGGAGGCGCCTCCTCTCACCTCCCGCATGGGGTGAGCTTCGCTTCGTTCTTAGGAGGTTGGGGGTTTGGTTGGTTCTGGACTTTTGGTTAGTTCCGGTAGCTTGCTGCACTGGGACCGCGCCTGGAGACTTGCAAAAAGGTCCGAGGAAAAAAAAAAAAATCCGCGCCCGTCGACCCCGTTTCGCGGCCAGTTGTGTCGCTGAGCTGGAAGGATCGGCCACGTGCCACAGCGCAAGCCTTCAACAAGCTTCCGATGCTCGCACCTTGCTGCTCACGGAAGGTTGGTCGGCTTGTCCCACTTGGGCACAGCTGCTCGACAACCACCAAATGAAGGCTTTGCCAGACCGGGGACGGGGGGATGGGCCCCATGGCACCACGCGACGCGGACACGCACCACCTACTTTCGCGACCGCGTGCTGTTGCCGACCGGATTCTGCTTCCCGTGCACTCCTCCGGTCCCAGGCGGGACCACAAGCCGGGGCTTGGCTGGCCGCTATTCCCTCGGATGAAGCCCACGTACTAGCGCCTGAGACCATGCAGATCGCGTTGCGCAGGCGCTTGCGTCTTGCTTTGCCGCTCACCTCCAATACTTGCGGCCGTGGATCGCGGTGGCTTGCCCGCGCACGGGGCTGCTCGCACGCCGGGCCAAGATCGTCGAGCATGCTTGGGTCCGCATGGCACGCGAAGCCATCGGGCCCGAAGGGCAGGTCGTCCCGCAGCAGTGGCTCACGCACACGACCGCGCCGGGAGTGGAGTCGGATGACCGCCGCCGACTTGACATGGTCATCTACGGCGTCACTTCTTGGGGAGGGGCACTGTGCTGCGACGCGACGTTGGTCTCTCCCATGTCGCGAGATGGCCAGCCGCCAGGGGGTGCAGCGGATGAAAACGGGGTAGCGCTCGCCACGGCCACACGCCGCACAGAGGCGACATACCCGGAGCTCCCGCGCAACGGTCCCCAGCGCCTCGTTGTGCTCGGCTCGGAGGTTGGGGGTCGTTGGACCACGGGAGCCGTCGCTCTCGTTCGCGACCTCGTTCGCCTCCGCCGGTTGCGCGCCCCTCCCGCTCTGCGCAATGCCGCGGCCACAGCTTGGGCTCGGCGTTGGTGGACCCAGCTGTCGGTCGCTGTTCAGCGTGCGACAGCCCTGTCGGCGGCCGGTCGGTCGGGCATGGCCGGCGGCGCCTCGCGCCTCCGTAAACGCTCCGGCCCTCGAGCTCGTGTTGGACCTCGCTGACGCGGCGGGGCCCAGCACCCTGCCGCTTCGAGGGTGACTGGTCCGCTTGCGGGCCGAAGTAGGAGGGAGGGTAGCTGTGTAAGGAGACCAAGGACCACTCATTCCGGCAAACGCAAAAAGGGGGGAAGAAAAAAAAAAAAACAAGTTTGTGTGTATGTCGCTGAGCAGCGGGGCTTTTTCCATCGTCATTGACATTGGCAGTGCCGCCACGGGCCAAGGAGAGGAGGCTTGAAGCAAGAGCGCGGGCAACCGCACAAAGGAGAGCACGGCTGACCAGCAAGAAGCGAGAGGCAAAGGCCGAAATGTTGGAACCGCGGGAAGAATCCGGCATGGCCCACGCCCGGAGGCGGCAGCTTCAGTGCCCCAGCAACCGCCGAGCTCGAGAGCGCGGACGACCAGCTTTCATCGGGCAGACTGTCGGAGCTCAGGGAACGGTAGGTGCGCTCCTTCGCTTTGCGCGGGAATGCAAATGCAGCTCCGGCAGTGCGACCGGCAGCCCTGCGGGGGGCACCCGCAGAAGCCAAAGGGAACACCAGTGCAGTGTCGACACATCCTGCCAGGCTGAGGTCGCGAAGCTGGATGTTTAAAGCAACGGTGGCTCCGGCCCCGGCAGATGCGGGCGGAAACGCGCTCAAGAGGTCCGCGTCTGGCACGAAGGACGCCTGACCGAGGACATGCTGCAAGGTGGTCACCGTAAAGGTCATTGCGGTCCGGGTGCTGAAAATGGGTCTGGACAGACGTCTGTTTTGGCCTTCTTGCTGGGTCGAACTGTGCGTTTGGAGCCGCGCATAGTCTGACATTCAATGGTCTGCTCAGTAAAACCTATTGACGTTGGAAAGAGTTTCTGAAGTTCGATTTTGATGCTTCGTGAACGAGCCGAGCTGAGCATGACGAAGATGTCCGATGCACCTCAAATCTCGCCGGCTTGCCGAGAGCGAGTGACAAAAAAGGTGATTCAGTATCCTTTGGCGGAAAGTAGATCAAAAAAAAATAGAGATCTCGCCTATCCATTGTGACTCACACATCCCGAAACCGGACGGGTCCCCCCCATCCGCATTTGGGAATCCATGATTTATTTGGGGGGCCTGCTGCATGCGTCCGGCAAACCTACGGCGGAACTTAATCGCGGGCAGGGCTTGGCTACCGCTGACTTCCACGCCTTATCCCGGGCATGAAAACTTGCAGCGTTGGACACAGCAAAGAAAGTACAGATTTTTTAGCTTGCAGCATATCCAAGCTGATGCATTTTTTTTCCAGTGCGTGGTCTGGAGGGGCCGACATTTGCAAATTGGATGCTTTTCAAGCTCGGTGCCTCGTCAGATTCTGCGCATCCCACCTTCGTTCGTTCAACTGCATGGCGTCGCTGCAGCCACGCGTGCTGTCTTCGCACGCGCTAAGCGCCTGTACGACGGTGTGTCAGCCCGTGTGTCTTTAAACGAAGTTCACTGACTCTGATTATTTAGCATGTGGGTGACAAAAAAATTATTTAGCGTCTTTGGGGTTCCGAGGCTGTCCCGGCCGGGTTCGCGGAAAGATCCGTTATTTGCAAAACAAATTCTACATGCATTTGCAGGGAGGCCGGTACCCGTGTCGCATCGCATGTCGCCCTCCGCGAGTTCAACCTCGACGTGCCCTCGAGCGACGGACGCCGTATAGAGGTGCTCGCCAACGGCCTGCCCCTATGGCAGGGCGCCCAAGTCGCCGTGGACGCAACCGTCGTGAGCCCGGTCCCGCCCGCGGGTTGACGAACAAGCGCAATAAAAACTAGAAGACAATTGGCCCGAAAGCATCATCAGCGAAGAGTGTTGGGCTACGTCATAGAATCCAGTGTATAGGGTCATAGAGTCACCGAGTCAAAAGCACGGAGTCGCAGAGTCGGAGTGTCACATACAGTCAAGAGTCGTACAAGTCATAGTTCATAGAGTCATCGAGACATAGAGTCGAGTACATGTCAAGCACAAGTCATAGTTCAAAAAGTCATAGAGTCATATATAGAGTTATAGAGTCACAGTGAGACAGAATCATAGAGTCATAGCGCCAGAGTGAGAAAGAGTCATGGAGTCATCTATGTACCACGCACTTGACCCGATGTAGTTCACTCTATGAACACTAATGTTCAGGTTTAGCGGGTTTAGGGTACAGATGGGTACAGTCCAGCATGACGCAGAAGTCTTCCTTTCCTAGCTCCGGAACCTCACTATATAGACATCCTTGATTGCTGTGGTTTCCACGTGACTCTATGACTCTATGCATGGTCACTTTATGTCGCAGCAGTAGTAGTAGTAGTAGTAGTAGTACTAGTAGTACTAGTAGTACTAGTAGTACTAGTAGTACTAGTAGTACTAGTAGTACTAGTAGTACTAGTAGTACTAGTAGTACTAGCAGTACCAGTACTAGTAGTAGTGATAGTGGTGGTAGTCGTAGTAATTAGTTGTAGTAGTAGTCGTCGTAGTCGCAGTCGCAGTCGCAGTCGCAGTCGTAGTAGTAGTAGTTGTAGTAGTAGTAGTTGTTGTTGTGGTATTAGTAGTAGTAGTAGTAGTAGTAGTAGTAGTAGTAATAATAGTTGTAGTAGTAGTAGTGGTAGTAGTAGTAGTAGTAGTAGTATTCTATAGTAGTAGTCGTAGCAGTAGTAGCAGCAGTAGTAGTAGTAGTAGTAATAATAAGAATAATAATAATAGTAATAATAGTAATAATAATAATATTATTAATGATAATAATAACAGTTGTAGTAGTGGTAGTGGTAGTAGTAGTACTAGTACTAGTTCGAACACTCGACAACGCCAATCTCTGTGACGGGTTGCAAGTTTCACTTCAATGCACATCAAAAGTAATAACTTTACCTCGCGTTCGTGCGTTCGACCACGCCAATCCCTGTGAAGGGGTGCAAAATTCATTTCAATGCACAAAAAACATGCAGCTCGTCGTGTTGGGCTCGGAGGTGGGCGGACGCTGGAACGACCGGGCGCGCGCGTTCGTGCGGGACCTCGTCCGGTTGAAGGGGTAAAAAAAAAAAAAGTTGGTTGCGGCTGGAACTTTTCGCTCTCATGCCATGTCGGCCGCGGTGATCGGACAGCTCCTGTCGGCATGTGCCGGAGCTTACTCGGCTGCCTCGTCGGCTGTGTGGTGGGCAGCTTCTTTGCGGCCGACGTGCAAGGAAAGTTTGACGCACGCAGCCCTCACGTGCAGTGGAGCCACGCCCCGGTACTTCACTCCGGGCTTCGGGCCGCTTACGCTTGCTTGGGGATGGCTGCTGTTGGGCATCCTTCTTGGGTTGCTCTTTCGCCGCGCGGCGGCCGCGATGGTCGCCTTAGCCGGTGGACGCCCTGCAGACGAAACCAAGTACAGCTGGGACGCCCTGCTGCGCGAACTGTCAGCCCGCACGCGGGACCCACGCAGGCACGAGGTGTTACACTACTTGCTGCAAGGGGGCGAAGCAGCGGTGCGCGAGTTGTCGCATGCAACGAACCGCACACCTGCAGCGCTGATAGCGCGCCTCCTCAACGACAGCACGCCGGTGACAGACGCCGTGGCCCCGCGCCCCACTCACGAGCGCGCCCGCTCGCCGACGCAGCGGGCGTCAGTAACGCTGCCGCGGGAAGCATGCAGGCGTGCCGGGCGGCAAGCAGCAGGCTCGGGCGACGTCCGCAAATGGACGCCGCACCCGCACCGCGGCAGGCGAGTTGGGGAGGCTGCGCACCCTGGGCCGCCGTCCGACGACCTCGAGCTGCGCCGACAGCGTGCGCTGCATGCCCTCGGGCAGATGCAATTGTTGGCGCCAAGCACCCGCCCGGCCGCATTACGCGACCACCACGCAGACGCGGATGCTGCTGAAGCCGTCTCGGACACGCTCAGTGCGACCACCGCTTTCGCCTCTCCGCGGGGAAATGCCCCCCAACCACCACTTTCGGGAGCGATGGCTCATGGCACCGGAAGAAGCGACACCAGGCTTCACACCACCACCTTCACCGGATCAGCGCGCACGCTCCCCGGCTTCTGGACACGAGCCCCTGCCCTGGCAAGATGCCCGCCCGCCGAGCTCCTTGGCTGGCGAGCGCAATTCATGGCTGTACATATCATTGCTGCATGCTGGGGCAGGCAACTTGACCGCGCGCGCCCAACATGAATGGCGATCGCGGCCCGGGCTCGGCCCTCGTTTCTGGGAGCTCGCATCCCTACTGCGCGATGCGCCTCCCGCCGTCGGGGCTCGCCCAGACTGTGCTTGCGGTCGCCGGCTGTGAAGCTCACGAGGCTCACCGAGCCACCTCAGCGGAAGATCGAGCAGTGGCGGCAAGTCTCAGGCACCACGCCTCGCGCCCGCCGCCGCGGCCGCCGCCACGGCGGCCGCCACTCCACGCCACGCGCGGAGTCACCCTGGCCCTACAGCGAGCACGCCGACGACCGCGTCCCCACCTGCCCAGCCGCTGCCGGAGACCACGATGCCGCTGCGAACGCTACGCCAGCAAGCGTCCCCGATGCGGCCTGGCTGGCCTTAGACGCGGTGGACTTGGCCGACGAGCTCCGACATCCGGTGCCAACATTGAAGCAAGACGTGCCGCCCTTCATGAGAGCCGTTGTGCGGGCAGCGTTGACCCTGGCCCTTCAACAGCTCCGCGACTCGCCTGCAGGCGCACCAGTCCATGATGCAGCACCGGCGTCGCGCGCGTGGAAGCTGTTTCTCCTCGCACCACGCATGCTGCTAGCTCGCACCCCCTGCGCGGGACCCAAGGGCGCGACGAATTGCTGTCCCGAGCAGCGGCCTTCCGACGAGGAGAGTGGGCACAGCTGCTGGTCGCAGCACGTCGACTCCACAAGCCCCGTGAGCAGGGTGGCTGCGTCGATGTCGAGGCTTTAGCCGAGCGAAAACGCGAACAAGCGTGCGCCAAAGCGAGGAAAGGCGAGCTCTCCAGGGCCCGCCAACTCCTGCTGTGAAAGGTTACAAAATTCATCTCACTGCACATAAAAAAATGCAACTTTACCTCGCGTTCGTGCGTTCGACCACGCGAATCCCTGTGAAGGGTTGCAAAATTCATTTCAATGCACATCACAAAATGCAACTTTGCCTCGCGTTCGTGCATTCGACCACGCCAATCCCTGTGAAGGGTTGCAAAATTTATTTCAATGCACATCAAAAAATACAACTTTACCTCGCGTTCGAACACTCGACCACGCCAATCCCTGTGAAGGGTTGCAAAATTCATGTCAATGCACATTAAAAATTGCAACTTTACCTCGCGTTCGTGCATTCGACCACGCCAATCCCTGTGAAGAGTTGCAAAATGCCAATCCCTGTGAAGGGTTCCAAAATGCAATTCAATGCACCGAAACCCTGTGAAGGGTTGCGCGGCGCCCGCAAAATGTGTAACTTTACCTCGCGTTTGAACGCCCGAGAAGGCGAATCCCTGTGAATGGTTCGCGGCGCCCGAAAAATGTGTAACTTTACCTCGCCTTTGAACGCCCGAGGAGGCGAATCCCTGGGAAGGGTTGCGCGGGAACCCTAAAATGTGTAACTTTACCTAGTGTTTGGGCGCTCGAGAGTTCCAATCCCTGGGAATGGTTGCGCGGGAACCCTAAAATGTGTAACTTTACCTAGCGTTTGGGCGCTCCAGGTGGCCAATCCCTGTGAAGGGTTGCGCCGGGCGCCTAAAATGTGTAACTTTACCTAGCGTTTGTTTGGGCGCTCGAGGTGGCCAATCCTTGTGAAGGGTTGCAGGCCTCCGCCTCCTCAGGAGCTGCTCGGCTGGGAGCGGCCCCCAGAACTCGGCCAGTCTTGGCCTTGGCAGCGGCGGCCGCAGGCGAGGACGACGAGGAGGACAACGGCGGAGGCGCGGTTGCCGCGGAGCCCGACGACCCCCTCAGCAAGCTCCTCTTGCAGCAGACCAAGATTCTTGGTCAGCTGGCGTCGGCGAGCAAGAGGAATGCAGATCCTTTGCAGAGTCTCCTCGGCGGTGGCAGCGGCAGCACCGAGGACGAGCCCCGGGTGCCGGGAGTCAGAGGTATGGCAGCGCGGCAACTCCTCATCGAGCAGTTCGAGGCCCACCCGGAGAAAGTGGTGATGCGTGTGCGGGAAAGGCTGGCAGCTGCCCGCCGGAAGAGCTCCCCGAGCGACTTGGAACCCAGGGACATGTACTTGCATTTTCAGGAGACGGTTCCGTTGGGGAGCTTCCGCACTCTGAGCTACTTTTCATTCCTGCTGGCGGAGATGTGGGAAGCCGCCGAAAGGGGCCAAGCAGCTCACATGATGTCCCTAGTGGCTTTGGGCCTCGTGTTCGCCGAACAGGTGGCACACGAACAAGGACATACGAGACTGGGGTGGCTATTGACCGGTCGCCCCGATCCTCCGTTTGCTTTGGTGGAGCAGCGCAGAGCTCCACGGCAGGAAGTGGCCCACGGCATGTTATCGGATACGAGGTGGGTGACAGCTCAGCTGGCTTACTTGAAGGATGCCGACATGATCTCCGAAAGGACAGCAAGAGCTCATGGCGCCCCGAGCGCCCCGAGCGGAGGAACACCGAGCACACCCGAACTACCCCCGAAGGGCCGAGGCCGCGGTCGCAGACGCGGCGGCAAAGAGAGTGCAGAGGAGCAGGCGGCGTGACCTCGTCCCGCTGGTTCCTCCCTCAGCTTTTTCCTTCAGATCTGGCTTCTGCTTTGAGTGCCTCTAAGCTGTGTACAGTGGTTGCGAGGTTTTTGCCCAGATGCAGGTCCAGACTTTCCAATTTCATTCAATATTCTTTGGCACAATATTCTTCGAACTTGGCCTCGCCCAGTTCCTCCGAGCTTTGGCCTTGCCCGGTACCACCTCCTCTAGAGTGTCCCAGGACGCCTTTGGGTGGTCGGCGCGGGGCGCGGTGGAAGGCAAGAAGCCTCTCACGACTGGTGTGTCGCCACTTTGTTGCAGCGTGTAACTGGCTTGTCGTGAACCGTGCTGATGTGCCTCCCGCTGCCCTGCCGCCTCCCTCCAGCCAGCAGAGTCGTATGATTGAGCGGCTGGAGGCGCAAGCCTCTACTTGGATTCGCTTGAGTCACGGACTCAAATGCCAACTTTCCCGAGCTGTGCAGAAGTATGATTCCATCAGCAGTCAATTGGAGCAGCTACATGTGATGAGTCAGCGTTTGCATGCAGATTTGCTTCCCTACAGCAAGCCGTCTCGAGGCCCACCGGTGGAGCCATCGGGCTTTGGCGCGAGTGAGGCTCACGCCGCGGAGCCCCGTAGCACAAGTGGCGCTGGCACTGCCATTGGCAAGACTGCACCCATTCAGGGCAACATGGCTATCGATCCTACCCGGTTAAAGTTTGAGGTCCCCCCGAAGTTCAAAGCCGAGAAATTCCTCGTGGACCCTCTGCTTAGGGCTGGCCTTCGAGACCCCAGAGCTTTCCGGAAGCCCTCTTCCGAATGGGTGCAGCCACGCCTTGCCAGAGTGCAGGCCAACCGGGCTGATCAGCTGGAGCTTTATCGGAAGTGGGATAGCGTGCACCAGTTGTTCTTGATTCCAGCTTCGGAAAGCGAGTACAGGTATCGTTGTGGTCTATTCGCGGTGTACAAGAATGAGCAGACCGATAGACAGATTTTGAATCCTATCCCGGAGAATTCAAGGTCTTTTTCTGTCTCAGAGAGTACCCGTACACTGGCCCACAGCAGCTTACTTTGTCAGTTATATATTCCTCGGGATCAAGCCCTGGTTATAAATTCTGACGACATCTCAGATTTCTACCACAACTTCCGAGTATCCAGCCAGCATGCAGCCCGCAATCATGTGCACGGCGTTTTCGAAGGCCGAAGTTTTGCTGGATGGAATGCATATCGCCCCGAGCTTCACGATAAGGAGGTCATTGGTTGTTTTCGCACATTGGCTATGGGTACCAACTTCGCTGTAGAATTAGCGCAGCACTCTCATGCAGTATTGCTTTACAGAGCAGGTTGTCTCCGTGAACATGAAACCGTCCGGTATCGGCATGCTTTGCCGGCTGGACCAGGGTTCGACCTATTGTGCATAGATGACCACATTTACCTTCTGCTCATTCCTTTGAATTCGGTGGCTTTGCCTCCTCAGCCTGACAGACGTGATGCTCGGCTTTTGCTTCAAGCTGCGGATGCCTATGCCCGAGAGGGGCTGCGGGTATCTGCCAACAAAGCTGTGCGGAATGTGTTCAGGAGCGTGGTGTTAGGAGGTGAGTTGGACGGCATCCGCGGTGATTTGACAGCACCACGATTGCGCATCGTAGCTCTTGGAGCGCTGACCTTTCAGACTGTGGTGTTAGGATGTTGCACTAAGGAGCTGCTGCAGTGCCTACTCGGGTGTTGGATTTTCGTTTGTATGTTCCGACGTCCATTCATGTGCATCATGAACCAAGTGTTCCATGAGCTGCGCGACAAGTCTGAACGTACGATTTTCAGATTGTCCCACGGGGCTAGGCAGGAGCTGCTGTTCATGGTGTTGGCAGGGCCATTTATTGTTACTGATCTCCGAGCGGAGCCGCTTGAACGCATTTTTGCCACGGACGCCTCAGGGTTTGCAGCCGGAGCCTGCCAAAGCCCGATCTCGAAAGCAACCTGTTTGGAACTGATTCGTCATGGACGTAAGCGACCACTCGCCTGCAAATCAAGCCGATCACCTGCTCCACACAATAGAAGAAGCTGGCATCTCCGCTGGGGCCATGCTCAATGTTGAACCCGGGGTGAACCCTGAAGCCCATCTGCAATGCCGTAGCCGACAATGTGCCTTCTCCTCGAAACACCTCGAGAAAGTCAAAGAGGATCCCTTCGGATAAGGAAGAAGGAATAACGTCACCGCCAAACCCTGAGTCTAGGTCACCCAGGGCCCCCAGCCGGGTTACAAGTTCGTCAGCTTTCGGCAAAAGTGACGTGTGAAACCCCCGGTGATCGGCATGTCGGACCCCCGTGCCGGACCTTCGGAACTATGTGCAATCCTAAGTTGCGTAGCAAACGTGAGCCTTGGGGTTTCAACTTTGAGGACCCGGACACTGCTTTGGGGAACAAGCTGGCCATTCGCTCCGCTTTCCTGTTACACCTATGCGCTGCTTATGGTTTGCTGGGTTCTGGGGAGCAACCTTCAGGTTCTGTTATGTTCCGGCTTGGTATCTTCCAGAGGCTACTGAACAAGGGATGCCACCGAGTGTCTTTCCCTTATTGTTCCTATGGCACTCCTATTTTGAAGCGCTCCACTTGGATTTGTAACAACCCAGTCTTGCTGCAGCTGCGTGGAGAGTGTACCTGCCCTTTGGAAGGCAAGCACTTGCGCCTTGGGAGCACTTTTACGCGAGAAGGTGTGAAACAGTTTGCGTCTTCTTGCAGACCCGATTGCTGCAGCGTGTATGGGCGAGTTCCTGCTATCGGTGAGCGCTTGAGCCGAGTATCAGGCACACATCCTTTGCCTTTCTGCCGCAAGCTCCTTGAGTTGCAACAGCCTGCGATACAACAGCTACAGCATTCGGTTGGTAGTCATTCGAGGCCAGCACACGAGCCCCCGCGCTGGATAGCAGACTTGGGACACTCTCTCCGCTGGAGGAAGTTATTCCAATATAGGTTTAGCCGGGTGAACCACATCAACATCAACGAGGAGCTCAGCTATCGAACTCTCATTAGGCATGCTGCTAAAACCTGTCCTAGCCACCGGTTCCCAGTGTTGCTCGACAGCCGCGTAGTGATTGGTTGCAATTCCAAGGGTCGGTCTAGCAGCGCCAAACTCAATTACTATTTGAGCACTTGCTTGCCGTACATCGTCGGTGGCAATCTTTATGTCGCTTTGCTGCATGTTGGGACCCATGACAATTGCGCTGATGATCCTTCGAGGCTGGTGGAACTGAGGTCTTCCTCCGCTGAGGCTCCGCTGTGGCTTCGCCGTTTCTCTGCTGGCGACAAGACCTACTTCAAGGCTGTCAGACTGGCAGATGATATCGCAGGGCCGTTAGGTCGTTGGGCTAGGTTGTCCTTGGTCCTTTGCGCTCTGCTTTACGATGCCTCGCCCCCGCCGGGTCTCAGCGGGTGCTAGAGCAGGCGTCAATCTGGACGCTACAGGAGGGCTAACTGCCGTGGTGGCCAGGCGCCGGGAGCAGCTTTACCACGACTTTTGCAGCTGGGCTGAGAGAGAGCTGGGATGCCATTTCAGTCAGCTCTGTTGTACTGGACTGCTGCTGGGCACCTCTCTGGTCGCTTTTGGCAAGTTTCTCTTTTATCAGGGTTCTCCTAAGTATGTGTTTTCGGAAACCATTAATGCTTGTGCCGATCGCTTTAAGCACTACCGTGCTTTCTTCGCCAGCGCGTGGAGTGTACTCACGCGGTGGGAAGAGGAGGAGCCTGCAGAGCGATCCATGATCATACCTGTCAGTGTTTTCAAGGCAGCCTTAGCAGTTTCGCTGCTCTGGGGATGGCCATACTTCGCTGCTGCTTTGATGGTCGCGTTCAACGGCCTTCTCAGACCTGGTGAGTTCCTCACCTTGAAGCGACGCAACCTGCTGCTGCCTCGCGACCTTCTGTCTGATTTACCGGTGGCGTATGTTCGCCTCTTGAATACTAAAACCAAGCGCTTCATGCTGCGGCAACACGCCAAAATTTCAGATGCGCTCACTGTCAAGTTTCTGGATGCAATCTTTGGTTCCTGCGCGTACGCCGAGCCTCTTTTCAACTGCTCGCCGTACGTGTTTCGGCGCCGCTGGGACGCTGTGTTTCAAACTTTGGGGGTCCGCACTGACGAAAGCTCTGATGGCGTCACTCCCAAATGTCTCCGAGGCTCCGGAGCGACATGGCTGTACCAAGTTACCGAGAACATTAGCAGCATACAATGGAGAGGGCGTTGGCAACAGCGCCGCACCCTGGAATATTACTTACAAGATGTGACTGGCCAGCTCTTGCTTGCCGACTTGGCAGAGAGCCATAGGCAACAAATCCGCGCGCTGGCTGCGTCGTCCGGCGCACTGATGGCCCACTTCGTACATAGCTCTGGCTTTCAGCCGTAAGCACATGACGGAGTTTCGAGTCGTACAGGATCATGAGCTGAAACCAGCTGTCTGATCTTCTTTAATCACTGGCCAGTGAAGCAGTTTCCCTTCGTTTGCTTGCAGCTCACTTGGGACACTTCACGTTGAGTGCAAAAGGAGGCTTGCATCCATGACTCGCATGGATTCATGCTGTATGCATGCACTCCGCAGCTTTTCGGGCCCTGCCACTCCGCCCGGAAGGACTCTCACTTTTCGAGTCGTACAGGATCATGAGCTGAAACCAGCTGTCTGATCTTCTTTAATCGCTGGCCAGTGAAGCAGTTTCCCTTCGTTTGCTTGCAGCTCACTTGGGACGCTTCACGTTGAGTGCAAAAGGAGGCTTGCATCCATGTATTCTAAATGCAAAGTCTTGGGCCCGCGTAGCTTTGTCACGTGAAGTTGTATGTGTGGCGGCCATCGAGCGACTGTATTAGGGCGTGTAGGGACAGCGTGGCGCGGTGCAAGCGGCCCAGGCGTCCGTGCTTGTTCGACTGGTCCTCGACACATCTCGGCACCCGACGTCCCCTGTTTATTCCGCCTCGCAGGCACGGCGCTGCGAAAGGGGAAAAAGCTGTGAGCCAGGACACAGAAGTGTGCTCGCCCTCACGACGGACGCAGCTGTGTGATCAGACGGAGGCCGATGTTTCGGCAGGCTCGTGAGCATGGAGCAAGGTCCAACGGGGCGTGTGGATGAAGTTGAAGTCGACGTGGTAGAGTGCTGTAGGCTAGCCTTGGACCGCTTCTGTGATGGCGCGGCCTTGGTCTGCGAGTCGTGGACGATCGTTTACGAAGAGCCACCTCGGGCTCACGCACTGCCGTCTATTTGTGCTGGACCACAGGGGTGGTGAAGCTTTTTGATTGCGCGAGGTCGAAGCGTAGGATCAAATTTGAATCTCAGCTGTGCTTTGCGGGCACTTTATCTCCTTAGTCGTAACGTGCTGTATGCCGATCAATCATCAGCTTCTTCACATTGCTTGTACCATGCAACAGGTATTGGAGCGTTTTCTCATGGATCGCGGGTTCCATTTCCTTGACGTTGACATTCTCAGAATTGTCGGGTATGCAGATTGACTCAGCATACCGTTGATATCGGGCTCCAGAGTCAACATGCAGCCGAGCAGAGCTGGCTTGGCCGTGCTCGAAGCCAGGCATGTTGTTGGATGCTGTGCCCTTTAGATGTCCACTGCAGCGGTGTCTGTGGTTTCAGTGCAGCAGGTCGCGCGGGCATGGCGAAAGCATGGGATTCTGGACAGCCACAAGATGGCAGCATGGTGCAGGACGGTAGGGTGTTTTTGCCTTGGTTCGGTTGATTCATGTTGCCTCGGGCGTGCGTGTCCTACGAGTCCTTGGACTCGTAACCATGCCAGGATGCGGCTGCGAGCAGTCTGCCTGGTAAAGGCGAGTAGCTTTCAACCTGTTTTTGATGGGCACATGCACTTCTTCCTACGGTTGTGCGGGATTACCCACTTGATCGCGCAGCTCCTGCATCATCGCAGGTATGGGCAAAGGTCCCGCCATGGATGGAAGCGGGGCAAAGGCACGCGAATTGCTGTTTCGTTGGTCAGTTCAGCACACATTGCCCAGACTGCATTTTTGTTTGCTTGGTGCACAGGCGAAAGCAAAGTCTCCACCACCCACGGTTTTGCTCTTGGATGCTCTTGCTTCTTGCAATGATCAGTCTAAAAATGCGCGGTGCAGGTGTCTGCCGACCTTTTTGGTGCAGAGGTTCGCTACCTTGTCCTTTCAGCTTTTTCTCGCGAGCCTCACTGGCAAGTTTGATTGGCTGTTGCTTGCATTTCGCTTCTCGGCACTTGCGAGGAACAGCAGTTAACAATTGCAGGATGGACGAGGATCCTGTCACGCCCTTCGAATGGTCTATCGCTGCTGCAGTGTTGAAAGTGCGGCGGCCTCTCTTCTGTGAGCGTTGATTTCGCGCCGGGATTTGGGACATGCAGCGCTGAGGCCGAAATTCCATCAGTTACGCCGCACTGCTTTTGACGAAAAGGCCTCAGGTGATCACAGAATCCAGGGGTGGAGCAGGCTAACTTGACAGGTGACATCAGCTGACGATAGCATCCGGCGATGGCCGAGGTTCTCCCAATACTGCCGGTCTCTGCCATGCTCACGGACGACGAGCTAGATGAGCACCAGCCAGTTGCCTGGAGTCTGCCATGAGTAAGACCTAGCACTGGTGTTTTGTACTAGTGTCGTTGCAACTTGCTTCTGGTTTCAGGCTGAGCCGATCAAAACGGAAGGATCCCCGCCAAACAATTGCTGCAGTTCCTTCGATCAGGCTGATGCCAGGCACATGCATGCAGGGGTTTGCCAACACAGAAGTTGGAAGACCAGGGTTTTGCTGCGGGCCGACTGACGGGCAGTTGATTTCTTTCTGCTTTGTGCCGCTCCCCTGACGCAGGCTTGGCCCATCCTGTGACTTTCAACGAAGAACAGATGCTTCGGTTGTTCGTCACAGATCCAAGGAGCATGGTCGCGCCTTCAGCAGAACGCTGTCCGAAAGAATCATGGAAAGACCAGTATAGCAAGCAAGGCCTACAACCTCTCCAGCACTCAGCGCAGTCGAGTGCCGCTTAGTGTTGAGCAGCCAGATCCCTAGCAAGCCTGGGCAACGGAACAGTCGAACATCAGCTTGGTGCAGCAGCGTTTTCGGCGCGCTTGAGGTGCGAAATGGCGCACAGGATCATTGTTCCCTGCTTATTTTCAGTGTGATGGGTGCGCATGCGACAAGACACAAAGGCAGTTCCATGTTGCTTGCAGCACCACTGTCAGCTCGAGCGGCACGAAGTTCTTCGAAGTGCTTTCAGCCTGGAAGATCATGGCAACCCAACTCGCAAGGTGAAATCTGCATGTGAATGATGCTGTTCTGCTCTCTGTGACAGCATGCAGAAGCAGTTTTCGTTGAAGAAAATTGCCAGGTCATGAAAGACCATGTTGGAGGCTTCAGCAGAGCTTCGCAAAAATGCGGCCTAAGCCATGATGCATCTCCAGGCTTCTATGCATTGGCTCTTCCTGATGAAGGGACGGCCCAAGCTATCGCTGGTATGGATTATGCCACACCTCACATGTCCGGCGGCTAAGCCATGTAACATCGTGCAGCAGCAGTATAGCTGTACAGTTTTTTTGCGAGATCCGAGGCTTGGAGTTTCCGCAATTCGTTTGCTTTACTCTCCTTCGCGGGATAATTTTCCCGCCATGCATGCCTAAGCCTTATCGGTTCTACATGTGCCATTGTGAGAAACCTGAGCAGAGGCTTGAGTTCTGGCATCTTGGCAACTTCACAAATCGCTGCTGCTTGTGATGAAAGGTCAACATGCACCACATCTTAGTGCTCATCCCAGCCTGCGACGCGCGTGTCAGTAATGACATATCAAAGAGCAAGCCAAATGGCACAAACTTCGGCTGTTTGCGTCGCGAGCTCCCCAGGCCGACAACGACGCTCTCCTAACCTTCTGGCAGGAGTCGTTCCAAGTGCAGGACACTGTGTGGTGAGACAGGGGAGAGTGTTCTGCTTCAACCGTGTTGCCAGCCGATGTTTCCCACCCTGGGGTTTAGAGATGTTTAGAGAAGCTTCCAGCAGACGTTTGGGGGACGCGCTCTATTCGAAGACGATGGCCACCCGTATCATTCGCATCATCGTGAACGCGATCACTGTCATTCCCCAAATGGGTTTCTCGCGTTCTGGATTTGGTTACGGAAGCCGCCAGGCAGCACACCCTTTCGCCTCCTCTGTGTGGTTGTAGTTTGAACTCCTGCCGTTCGAAGAGGTTTTGGGTTTTGCATGATCTTCCTGCCACTGTGGCTAGTTTTCCTTTGCGAATCCCAAACAAATCGTGCTCTACTGTAGCGGTCTTGCACATCTTGGAGTCTTTTGGGGTTGGAGGCTGTCTAAACATCAATTGGTTGTTGTTCCGTCGTCGTCGATGTTGTCGTGGTCGCAGCGGCAGCGATCCACATCAATACTGCCGGCAAGCAGCGCTCAGCGCTTCTCAAGTTCTTCGCTCAATGTTTAGATATCATAACAACGTCCTGCGCCATCAACCCTCGGTATGTCGGTTCGCGAAAGGTGGGTGTAGCTCCGAAGAGCAGCACTCCGTGTGTGGAGCTCCGTTGCAGCCCCAAGTTCAAAACTTGGAATGTGGATTTCGAGTGCTTTTCGACATGCAGTGGCTTGGATTCACGCAACAAGAAACAGCGACTGCTTGCAATTTCGGATTTCAAGATATTGCAAGTACAACTGCTTGGAAACCCGGCATCTGCGAAACATCCTGAAGCTTGCGTGCGTGTGACTTGTAGCCGAAACAGTGTCTACACGGGGCTCGGCACACATTTCTTCGACTTCTCGAAATTCGATCGAAGGTTTTTCTTCGCCACAATCGGTGACACTCGCTTCTGACACGGGTCGGTGAGCCGCGTCGAACCGAGCTGTGCATAGACACGAGGAGCGAGAAACGTACCTGTGCATTTGTTGCACATCTGGCGAAGATGCAGGAGCTCTTATACTACGGCTACACGAAAGAGGCAGTGCCTCTCTTCTCTAGCTTTGCATCGCCGCGCAAGGGCCGAGTCGCCCGTAGTGTGGGCGCTTGAGTCGACGTGCCGAGGCTATCAAGGAGAAGTTGCCAAAATTGTCTGCGACCCATATGACCAGCTGTGCTGGGACGCGCAGTGAAGGATTGGCAGCTGCCCGGAGCAGATCGTGGTAACCAGTCATCTTAACGGCAACACCTGAGGCCTGTTCAGTTTACAGACTTTGCCTACTGGCAGAAGTCGCTCTTTTCACGAGGCCAGCAGTGGCTACTTATGCAGCCAGGTGAACTTGTTGTACATATGCAGGCCTTCTAAAGCCGGACTTGTCGTATTGGCCCGGGGCCTTGCTTGGGTTGCCACGTTGTGTGTGTGTGTGCGTGCACGCGCCTGCCGTCTGCCGAGGGGACGGCAGGTAGTGACGTCGCAGCCTCCTG